CTCGGGGTCGATGAAACCACCTAAACCTATCAATTAGGGGTTTGGTGTCTCGGGGTCGACAAAAACACCTAAGCCTATCAATTAGGGTTTTGGTGGCTCGGGGTCGATGAAACCACCTCAACCTATCAATTAGGGTTTGGGTGGCTCGGGGTTGACGGAACCACCTAATAGAATCAATTAGGGTTTTGGTGGCTCGGGGTCGACGAAACCACCTAAACCTACCATTTAGGCTCTAGGGTGGCTTAGGGTCGACGAAACCACCTAAAAGAATGAATTAGGGTTTGGGGTGGCAACATAACAAAAGAATGATGAGGAAGCATTTAAGCATAAGAAACTATTCCTTTTGCAAATGCATTTAAGCATTTAAGAAACAGCGTAACATAAGCATTTTCCAATGCTTTGTATGTCATCATTTTCAGCAACAAACTAGCAACCATTTTCAGCATCAGTATAACATAGGCAAACAATACTTACTGCAGTTCAACACATTATAGGCATACACAACCATTGTTCACAATACATAGTGGAGTTCAAATGCACAATCCATCCCTTTTCTCACAAAAGGATGAATAGCATAACTACTGGGTAGAGAAACAGCCAGAGTTCACAATTACTAGAACCATACATTACACAACCATAATTCTAAGTTACTAGGTCATTGCACAGCCATCCTTCCCAAAAGGTCTGCAATGCTCGCTAATATCACTTCATCTTCTTTAGTTCTATAAGATGCCCTGGATCCCCTTGATCTTCTCCTTAAGCTTCTCCTCTGCCTTCATGAGCTCACAAATCTTAAGCTCTTGCATGTACTTCTCTTCATTATGGTTTACCTTGAGCTTCAGCAGATCAGCAACCTGAAACTTCAACTCTAGCTTCTCTTGGGTCAGCTTCTCCTCAAAATTTGTGAGCTCTGCATTCTTCAACTCCAAATTCATTCTAGCCTCACTAAGCAATTCCTTCTCTTTCATATTCTTCAACTTCAGGTTCTGGATGGCAGTTGCTTGAGCACTTGTCAGGTTGCACATGAGTTCATACTTTTGTTGAAGCTTCTCTATAACTGCATCTTTCTTTGCCATTTTTGCCTTCATACCAGCCACCAATTCAGCTCTACATTGGTGCGGATATGTGATTTTGGACTGCAGATAACTGAAATCCACAACCCTCTCCTCCTGAAAGTCCACAAGTTGATGCACATCTTTCACTAACTTGTCATAGTCTGCATCCAGTTTGTTCTTTTCTTCTGTCAAATGGTGAATAGTTAAAGCACTTTCAAGATTATCATTCACCCTAGCACACTTGCTCTCTTCAACCATTGACCAAAGCTTCAACAATGCATTCTCCATTGTTGGGGGCCACTGCTCATCAACCCACTGAACAAACCCACAATTCTTACCTTCCTGGAAAAATAACAAGGGCAAAATTTAGTACAATACAACTACTATGAGTAGTAAGCAACAGTTAGTTCATGGCAGTAGCTAATGTTGGTACTGACCAACACTGAATTTGCACAGCCATGTGCTAAGCAACAGGAGCACATTGTAAAAATAACTTAATGTAATCCTACAATGGGTGATCAGTATATATTTAGCAAAGTAACACTCCATTCAACTTAGCATAATAACCAACTTAGAATTGGCCATTAATATAATGGAATCCTACAATGTGCACTACCACTCTACCAGTTAACTACTTTGCCATATATCACTAACAAATAGAACATAGACATCACTGAATGAAGAGTTATTAAACCAGACTACATTAGCCTAGCTAAATACACTACATTAGCCTGCAGCAACAAACTAGCTAATGACAGTACCTACTGTCAGCAGTAAGCAACAGTTACTTATTAGGAGTCACACATCAGCTAATGGAGGGGCTAATGTGAGTACTAAGCAACACTGCATACAAGTATAAATAAATAGAATGTGCACACAACAGAGCAAGCTTGAGCCTATATTTAGCAAAAATGCACTCCACTGAATTTAATATTCAGCATTCCTACAATGAGCACTACAGTAGGGCATATATGACTAACAAAATTACCATAGACATAACTGAATCACACTTGGCAAACAAGACTATATCACTTTCAATGAACACATCCTGTGAATAATCAATAAGGCAAGAAAGTACCGGCTCTGCACATGCTAAGAACCTTCTCCCAGTCATTGTTCCTTCAAATGCAACAAGCCTCTCTGATGGCTTCCCATGCTTCTCGCACATCACTATCAGATCTAGCTCAAGACCCTTGTAATCCGGGTCCTCAAGAGAGAAAGGCACCTGCCCAAGCAAAATCCAAGTTACCATCATGTGCAGAGGACGAGGACAAAGCAAATCAAACGAAATCCTCACAACAAAGACCACCTACACAGAAAAATCCCCACATTTTCTAAACCTAACCCTAACCCTAGCTCCAATGGAGTAACTGACCTGGTTGAGCCCATCGGTGGAGGTTTAGGAGTACATGTACGGGAGGCTTGAGTTGTCATCGCTGCTCTTGTCCTCCAAAACCATGGCTGCGGCGAAGGCGTGTGGCGGCCGACAGGGGCGGGCGCAGGCGGCGGCGAGGTAGAGAGAAGGAAGAAGAAGGCAGAGTAGAGCGGGGGGAATGAGCGAGGTCTGGCTCGGGCCGCACCAGCCGCGCCTAAACTGGCTCGTCCGAGTCAGCGCGCGGGCACGCGCTCACTGGCCAGCGTGGCGCCTGACGGGCGGGCCCAACCGGTCAGAATACCTGTCAATATGTATAAAATGCACTTTTAGCCTCTTTTGCAACGTCTCACCCCAAACTTGGTACTGACACGTAAAAATTATCAATCTTAGCACCAACCTGCTTCCAATGCCCCAATTGTGGTACTTCTGTGCAATTTACTCCGAATCAAACAAACATGATGAAAGTGACTAGATGAAATTCCCGTGTGTCCTCAAGAACGCTTTGCTTATTATAAGAGAACTTTTCGGCCCGTCCTTTGCTAACAAAAGGACTGGGCTACCTTGCTGCACCTTTTTTTATAGTTGCTATTACTTGCTCATTACAAATTACCTTGCTATCAAACTATCTGTTACCGATAATCTCAGTGCTTGTAGAAAATACCTTGCTAAAAACCACTTGTCATTTCCTTCTGCTCCTTATTGGGTTCGACACTCTTACTTATCGAAAGGACTATGATTGATCCCCTATACTTGTGGGTCATCACCATCTATCACCAGATAGGCAAACTCTCGGTAGCAATCTCATACACCATTCTAACCCCTCGCATGAGGTATCCATACACCATGAATAACTAAAACCAGCAGGATGTAGGGTATTACTCTCTGGAGGCCCGAACCTGGATAAACCCCTTGTGCGACCTCTATCTGGGACTTCCAGCCGCGCTCAGACCTGTACCGAGGGATCTGATGGTATTTTGCACCGTCATGCATAAGGAGGCAGACGATGTGGTGTCAAATGCGACGACGAAGGAGTTGATGATGTTGATTCCTGACCCAGTCAAAGGTGCTATGTCAGTGCACATAATGCGCTCGGCCAAGGATCATGCCAAGTCCGGCGATGCTAGTCAGAGAGCCAAATGGGCCAGAGTACAGGCAGTACAAGGCTTGTCAAGACCAGCCGTTCGCCGTGGTGGCTTCAAAGGACGACCACAATGCGGTGTACATGGTGGTCAAGGCGCCGGCGCCTGCAAGACCCATCGTTTTTGACGAAGATGAGGAGGGGGAGATTGTGGATGGTGCGGTGGAGGTGGTGGTGGAAGACAACAAGAAGGCTATGACCCCCCGCCGCTCAAAACGCCTCCAAGGTCGTCGCGTCTAGGATATGTGCTTCTAAGGTAAATTTACCCCATTCTCCAACCTCCTTGTACTAAAAAATCATCGTATGAACACTATAGTCCATCGGTTCTCTGACGAATCGAGTGCAACTCCAATTCCCCAACCCCTTTGTATTCAATCCTCTTCCTAATGCTTGAATCGAGTCTGAAAATCCAATCTAAACCGTAAATCAAAAAAACAGGGCAAGGGCTTACCGCCATTGTCGATGCCCTGTCAGTGCGCCGATGAAGCCGGTGATCGTCTTGCAGTCCGTCGCTCCGTTGCTCACCATCGCCGATGTGAGAGTGGGGAGCGAGAGAGAGAGAGAGAGATAGGTGAGGGTAATTATGCCGCCTCTTCGGGAAACAACACGACTTCTCGAGACCGTCCCCTCGCGTGCAGCCTCCCCTACGCACGTGCCACAAGGTGCATCGTTCGGGCCTGATTGTGAAAAAACGACCTATTAGCCAGATCCAGAGGTGCTTTAAGGTTCATGCTAACCAATTTATTTATGCGACCAATCAATCAAACTAATCGAATCTTTTATGCGTTTGGTGTCTCTTAAAAAATGGCGTCGTCGTTTTTGACAGATCCATGCTCGTTTTCCACGCGTCTGCGACCCTATTGCTGTCATCACTACTGAGTCAGTAGTCACTACGAGTGCCGTGCCACTGCCAATTCCCGTTGCCACCGCGGGGTTTAACAACTCGTCCTCCCCTTATCCCCTCCCTCCTCTCCATCCCCATTGCCAAATTCCTCCGATTCCCGCGGGCTCGCAGATCCAGGCAGCCTCCCTCCGCCGAACCACCACCCGATGAGCCACCGGCGAGTGGAGGCATGCGACTCCTGGCGCCCGCCGCCCGTGCCTGGGCACGCGCCTGCTCTCCTCCTCCGCGCGGGTAACCCCTGGGGCCGCTCCTACCCACCCTGCGCCTTCGCGTCCCTCTCCGTCCGTGAGGGCGGGGCGGCCGCCGTCAAGGCGGAGGATGTGGAAGAGGAGAAGGAGAGAACGCTGGCTCAGGTGGCAGCCGAGGTCTCTGGGACGAAGGGCAAGATGCCGCCGGTGGCGCAGCTGCTGAAGCACCCCCTGGCGCTGCTGGCGCTGGTGCCCAGCAGCGTCGCGCTCTTCGCGGCCGGCGCCGGGGCGGGCGCCGTCGCCAAGACGGTCACCGCGCCGCTCGACCGCGTCAAGCTCCTCATGCAGGCATGCGGCCTTCTGACCCCGATGCCCCCGCGGTTCATGCTGCTGGGTGTGTAACTGATGTTTCTGACCCGCGTTTCTTCTCTTCTTCGCCCAGACACATAGCGTGCGGATGGCGGGTGAGAGCACCAAGGGAATTGGATTCGTGCAGGTAACAATGCTACATTCTCTTTGACTCCGTTTCTTTTTGTGTTGCAAACAAAAAATGATACAGAACATGTGATTTTTTATATGATCAATGCATAAATTCAGAACTGCGGCTCAAAGAAAATTTGGGGTTAACTGAAATCTATCGTTGATTCTTTTTCAGAACATTCTTCCATACACCTGCAATCTATGTTAACTGAATAATAATCCATCAGGAATAACCAAAACAAAAAGACCTTATCTGAACTATAAAGAAGTAGGTAACTTAAGATGAAAAGGTCCTTGGTGGGAGATCACAGTTAGAAACTTCAGGATCACCAAGTCTTCTTTTGCTTTATTTGGCAAGAGCTCGAGCTGTTTCTCCATCCTTTATTTTGCACTTGTAACTATAATGTTGTTTTAGTTCAGTTATTAACAGATTTGAGATGCTTGTTTGACTAACTGGATAAGGTTAACCATGGAATTACCTGGTTTCCGTACCCTCTGTGTCAGGTTATTTCCATTTTCTTTAATAAAGATATACGAATATTAACCATTTCTGTTGAATTGATGCATTTTAGAGTTGACAGTCAGAACATAGGGGAGAAAGGGCGATAGTTTTCTTTTAATGCCTTATCGATGATACTTGTACTTACATGTAAAGGAAATCATGTAACCTGGTACATCTCCAATTGTGTAGGCTATGGCAGAGATAGGGAAGGAGGAAGGTATAAAGGGTTACTGGAAGGGCAATCTTCCACAGGTGCTTGATATTACCCATCTTGCAAATTATGATTTTGTGTCTCATGCATGGTTTATCTTGTGTTCCCATGCTGACTTGTTTCTTCTCCATAAACTCCTCCAGGTTATCCGCATAATTCCATACAGTGCAGTACAACTTTTCTCATATGAAGTTTACAAGGTCATAACATCTCCTTGCTACTAATAGTCACTTAATCTATTTTATGTTCTTGTGATTGTGAATGTGAGTGCCGTGTTCCTTTTTGTTATTTTACAACTTCAATTCGTTGTTTTCAGAAAGTATTCCGGAGAAAGGATGGAGAGCTTACTGTATTTGGGAGACTTGCGGCTGGGGCTTGTGCGGGCATGACTTCTACACTTGTAATTTATTTTATCTACCTTCTTTCTAGCAAATGGCTGTTTGTTTCTAGTTTCATAGGTTAAAATTGGTTGTGTTTCCGTTCATTCTTATTCTGGTCTGAACTTTCTATTTGTACTTGCTGATAGGTGACTTACCCACTGGATGTCCTCCGGCTTAGGCTAGCAGTTCAATCTGGACATAGCACTATGTCACAGGTAATAACTATTACAAACACAAATTTCTGTAGTTCGAAACTGGTATTTCATGATGATTAATTTTGTAGGTTGCTCTGAACATGCTGAGAGAAGAAGGGCTAGCTTCCTTCTATGGGGGCCTTGGTCCATCTCTTATAGGAATTGCACCTTACATCGCTGTAAACTTCTGTGTTTTTGACCTGTGAGATCCTTTCTACTGCATATTCAATTCTTCATAGTGTATGATATATAAAATGGTCTCAGATTTTGATATTTGTCTCACGTTTTTATATATCCAAATCATCATTTCTGTATCGAAGAATGAAGAAATCCGTACCGGAGAAGTACAAGAGTAGACCAGAGACTTCTCTAGCAACTGCTCTTCTTTCAGCAACATTTGCAACTTTGATGTGCTATCCGTTGGACACTGTTAGGAGGCAGATGCAAATGAAAGGCACACCGTACAATACAATTTTCGATGCCATACCAGGTAGCTGAGTGAATTTTGCTACCCTTGCATATGCAGCACAGTAGTGCAGCATTTTTTGCATAGTGCTACATAGCCACCTCAGTGTGTACAATGTTATTTGCCACTTTTCACCATTCTACGTACTCATTAGCAGCTTGGTCTTGTTCATTATTGGCCAAAAAGAAGCATTTTTTGAGTTTTTTAATGCCAAATGCAGGCATTGTGGAGCGTGACGGTCTAGTTGGGCTATACAGAGGTTTTGTGCCAAACGCGTTGAAAAATCTACCAAATAGCAGGTGGTGCTTTTGTCACCATGTCTGTGAAAATATTTTATTTTAATTACAGCGACACTGATAGCTAGCATCATGTTTAACTTGCCATAGAAATTATGTTCTCTCACAAGTTTGTTATGACATGCAGCATTAAACTCACCGCATTCGACACAATGAAGATCTTGATATCTACTGGGCAAAAGGAACTGGAAAAAATAATGCAAGAAAATCAGGAGAAAACAAGCTAGGAAAATAGCCTTGCACAACCTTAAGGCACGGGGAGCTGGCATGCTACCCCTTTTTACATGCTCCAATTTTCGATGAATCTCACTTTCCCAGGCCATATTATAGAGTTTAGATAGGCACATATTTGATGTTCCCTTACAAGTTGGTCCTAACTTACAGTGGTTTTTGTACACCTTGCTGCGTGCTGAAGATCGAGGCATTAGAATCAAGCAGGGCAATTAGTTGCTGATCTTAGTGGCGGCGTGGCTTTAGCTAGGCGTTAGTACAAGCATTCACCTTACCTGATATTTATTCTTGTCGAAACATAGATTGACCTCATAAGCTCTCCAGAAAGTTTATCCCTATGTTTTGTAGACAGATCTATGAAATACAATGGAGAGCTTGGATACTGTCCTCTAACAGGTACACCCTGAGTAATACATCCTTGTTCTACAGGGTGTTTACCACCGCACTGCTGTTACTGTAATACCGGTTTTGTATGCTCAAAGCTTTACATTCGCCGATGAATAATTCTTAGCTTCAGTTTGGGCACCACCTCTTCTGTAATTTGTTTCTCTTTCGGCATGAGCTGCATGGCCTTATGCACCATCAGACGATGAAATGGAAATAAGGAAATGCAGTTTAGGGAGAGGAGGGTATTTCTGACTTTTTTGTATGTCGATGAGAATTGAAGTATTTGTTTGTCCTTCTTCAAGAGCTAGAGTAAAATGAGATTGGACAAATTGTGTACTGCTATTCCATGATCTAAATATGCTTTTGTGCCTTGTACTGATGTATCATGTGCATGTCAATTGTCATGGTGAAATGGCATTCCAGATCATATTATGAAACTAGTGGACTCGTTGCGCCAAATGGCGCAGAGACGCGTTGAATCCATGTTCACATTGAAAATAAAATCCACGATTCCGTTGGTATAGTTGTGGGCAAGCATGTATGGTAACAAAATTTAACGCCCTTTAATAAAAAAAATGGTGGCTTGGTTTCTACAATGAGATGTACACACAGATTTAAATTTGGCAGCACAAAGTCCCATTGAAAACTATTTTTAGCAATCTTTTGTTGAAAAAGCACGTACATTAAGAATTTAGATCCCCATACATAAAAAAAATACATACCAGTTAAGGAGGCTTTAAGGTAGTGCTTGTATCAATTTGCTTGTGTGTTTGAGAGAAAAAAAGACTATTTTTGTGCCACTTAGACACATGTCCATTTTTTTTAAGCATGTCCATTTTAAAGTAGTCATACGGTAGTTAGTCCAGCCCACAAAGCAGTGTGTTGGGCTGGCTCGCTTGGAGCATAATATGAAGCGGCAGGGTATCGAACTACCTATCCCTTCTTCTTCCTGGGCAGCTCCGTTCGGTTATAGGCGAATACCTCGACGCCCATGTGTATCTAAAACTGGTGAGATTTGTCCCGCTTTCCTACTGCTTCCAACTACTTTGATGCATGAATTTGAATTGCATTTATTTGGACTTTATGTTTCGTCTCTTCTTGGGGCGATTTTTAATCTCTTCCTACGCTTTTTTAGCCACCACATATCTTGGTCAGCATCTCATTCCACATAGGGATGGATACGTATATGGAAACAAATCTCTGCAGCCATTGCAATTGTTTTGGCGGCCCAGTCGATTAGGCCCACGACTGGATCTTGGTTCTTTACCTGCATTTTGTAGAGATATCTACTCTGGAATTTATGTTGTTTCAGGTTTTTGCGACGGCTGAGCATGAGAGGAGCCCGCATAGATGATTATGTAAACATTAATTTTGATAAAGGTATCTTCGGTAATATTATACATTAGTTATTCGACCAATTAGATTGTGTCTATGATCTGTATTGTAATTCTCTGCACTCGTTTATAGAAGAAAAGGGCCTCGCATATGACTACTGTATAATTGTAAAATATTTATTAAACATAAATTACATAATACAATGGTGGAAATTCTTATGCATGTTTACATGTTAAGTTACAACTTTCTCTGCATGGTTTTATGTTGAGGTGGACCTTTTTCCATCCATGTTATTTGATGAGGTGACATACTTGCATGTTAAGAAAAATAGATTAATGAAAGCTAGCTATTTATATATTTATAAATATAAAAGATAGATTAGGACCCACGATAATACTTGCTCACATATAGGACCCTGCTGGGCGTTTTCTTATAAAACCTGCTTGACACACAGATGATAAGATGATACTCTCAGGACCGTTGGTGTATTTACTATCTCTGTAACATAATATAAGATGTTTTTGCATTTCAATTTAAACTGCAAAAATGTCTTACATTATGGTACAGAAGGTGGTACTATTTTAGAATATATATATATAGTTGTACACCTCATCCAACTGAATATAGCTTTTAGTACTGTACTTAAAAACAACACTCATCAAATGTGACTTTAGACAACATGTACTACGAAATAATAACTGACAGGTAAGCTTACTTCCGGATGTAAGCTCATGTATGTATAAACAATGGATGGAAGTAAAATCACAGTTCATCAGATGGGAGGAGCATTTGCTGTGGAAGGTCCCTCCTGCACTTCATCCAAGATGTCTCCAGCTGATACTGAGCTTGATCTGATTGCATCAACCAACTTCCTTTGCAGTGTCAACAGGCCAATACGTCTTGAGACAACATACAGAACCGCCAAGGAGAACACGAGGAACCTAATGGTCAGGATGATCCTGGAACAGATGATAGTTAGAAACTTGACGACCCAGACAGTATTGTTGTTACACAAGCAGAAACTTGTCTTGCGGATGGAAACCAAATGCTTATCGCAACAGGAGTAGGGCATACAAGTTAAACCCATTGATGCGGAGCATCCTATGATCATCCCCATGTACACTACGACTTCTCCCCAAGCCCCTAGTGCCCACATGTTGAGACCTCAAGTATACACCATTGGACACAAGGTGAACTCGCTCCTTTCCGAATCTTCCCTTTCCGCATGTAAGACATGGATGCTACCTCAAGCGCGGACCTTATGCATACTCAGGTCCATCCGAGGAGACCATGGAGAGCCTAAGGACCAAGGCCAAGTGTGCGCGGGAGCAAGGAAAGGAGAGCCAGCTGCTACAGCCCGAGCGGTACTACCGCCCACACCAAGCGGTACCACCGCTGAAAGCCCACAAGCGGTGCAACCGCTCGACCACCGCCCAACAACCGGCCAAGCTTCTGTGATCGAGCGGTGCAAGGCCGGTGCAGCACCGGTTTATCCCCTTAACAGCCACCTGACCAGTACAACCACCCCAAGCACCGGTACAACCGCTGAGCACATCCGGAAGCACCTCCAGGAACCCGTACCTGAGCATCCAGCGGTACAACCGCCCCCATGACCGATACTACCGCCCTGCCTATGCGCAGTGAAAGGGGTTTCACCCCATGTATCCCCCAACTTACCCCTTGGACTATATATACTTGTCCCTTAGCTCCGTACTAGGGTTAGCATTGGTTTAGCTCATTTGAGAGATAGAGCATTGCTCATCCATATCGGATCTCCTCCGTGTGAGAGACCGCGGCCTCTTCGGAGAAGATCCCTTTGGATTCAAGCCCCCTTTCTAAGGGAAGACCCCCCCGTGGATTCAAGACCTCCTCACGGAGAAGACCGGCTACCCTTGTATCGTCCTTAGTTGTCCGTGGATCGTGTATCTTCTCTTATGTATTCGAGGATCTAGCACATGTGTGACTATCTTGTTGGTTTGAGTGTTCCTCTTTGTGCCCCTTTGTGATTTTCCCTCGTGTTTCCTCCTCGTGTTCTTCGTGTTCTTTGCGGGATTCCGCTCCTATCGTGAAAGATCGGGCCATAGGGTTCTACCCTACATCATCTTGGTATCAGAGCAAGGTTGATCACGATTTCGGAGCCTCCCCTCGTTGTTTTCTAGCCTAATTTTGTTGTGTTCTTTCCCAATTTCGAAAATCCCCACCAAAAATAGGCCCAATTTTTTTTTGTGATTTGTTGGTTTGATGATGTTTTGTTGATTTTGATCCATGGATTTGCTTGGTTTCAAGTGGATCTAGCATCTCCCCAAGTTTCCCCACCTTCCATCCGCGAAATCCATCAAATTTTGCCCCCGGGATCATCCATTTCCGCCCCAAGTTCATCCCCGATCCAGATCTGAGAATTTTTCCCGACACCAGCGGTACAACCGGCCCCCGAGGCGGTACAACCGCTCCCCCATAACCTGCTACTTCTGCCAGCTAAAACTGGAACCCCGGGACGCGCCAGGAGCGGTACAACCGCCCACCCAAGCGGTACAACCGCCCCTCCCAGTTTCAGCCTCGGCTGATTGACAGTTTTGACCATAACTTTCACATCCGGAGTCTGATTTTCGCGTTCTTTAGCTCGTTGAGTAGCTATTGACATCCCCCATCCATATACATAGGTTTCAACACCATTTGACTCCATCAAATTTTTGGAACTTTGTCATCTTTACCTAGGGCTTCCACCACATCATCCGCTACACCACCATAGCCTTCCGCAACCTAACCAATTTTGTTTCCCATCGCATTAGTGGTTGCTTGAGGAGTGATTTGAGTCTCCTAAGGTGTCTAGGCTACTTAGGGACGGTCGCTTCTTCATCAACCACCACCACCACTTCCGCATAGGATTGACCACTATACACTTCGACCACCCAACTTAACCCAATTTTGCTTGTGTTGTGAGTTGTGTCTCCTAAGGTGTTTCGGCTACTTAGGGGCCGTGCTTCCAACTCCGATACCGTGTATAGTCCACCACCTTACCCTCGACTTCCGCATTGCGTACTCCACAACCCATCATTGCCATCCCGCAATTCCATTGAGCTTCCACAAAATCACCACCGCATTCCCGCTACCACCATTTGGCATTTGATATTTTGAGTTCGCGGTTTTTCTGTTTCCTAAGGTGTTTCGGCTACTTAGGGACGAGTCTCCATCATCTTGGTATCATCATCAAGATCACCACCACTCATCATCACCGCGGACGGTAACCTCCATATCATCTTGGTATCGTGGTACCCCTCCATTGTATATTCCCTTGCCATTGCATTGATAACCCCTAGCCCATTTTGCGTCACTTGCCTATGGAGACTAGCCATTTGAGTATTGCCGACAACGTTACTTGTGCACATTAGTGATCTAGACCATACATTGCGTACATACCATATCATATTGGTATCATATCATCTCATGTGCCTCAAGTTTGTTCCCGCATATACATAATAGCTATCTTGGTTTGTGCATTGTGCAAAAGTGGCCATACAAAAAAAAGAGAATAAGCTTTTAAGCAAAGAGAAAGAGCAAAGAAGCTTGTAAGCAATAGCCATAGCATCATACCACATTGCATATAAGATCATCTTGGGTCACCTTGTGAGAAACACCGGGAACCATACATACATAGCATACTTGGGATAGAAAGTTATCCATTTTGCATCTAATAGGTTGTGCACAAGTGTCGTATATGCCTATAGAGCAATCGTGCTAGCGTCTCTCTTGAGTTGTGCAACACGAGCGTTTTCTGTGGATTCCACATTTTGTGCTCATCCTTGGTTGCACGACCCCATTTATCTATCCGTGTGTGTGTTTCCGTGTGCCACATATTGCTATTGGTCTACTTGTTACACTTGCGAATTTGTGAATCTCTTTCAACATTATTGACTCTTGCTAACATTTTACATCAATTTTTTTTGTGCCACTATCCTCACCGAGCTCCACCATAAGCCTTATTTGTGTAGGTGTGAGAAACCGACAAGAATTGGTACCAATTGTGCTATTTCCTTGTCCACATTGGAGTGATCATTGATCCACTTTCAATTTCGGTCAAGGTACATTTGGTATTCGTTCTTCTCTTTCTCCACTCATATTGGCTCGAATCTTATGATGGATAGGCAAGGCATTTCATCTCCGTTCTTCCGCAACAACGACGGCGTGTACAACTACATCAACAACAAGCTTTCCGCACAAAAGGAGGAGCAAGATGCAAGGATGGAGGAGATTCGGACCTTGTTGATCAACCGTTCTTCCCCTTCATCATCCTCAAGGCGGCGACGTTCAAGTCACAAGTCTTCGGAGCGCAAAAATGATGCAAGCGCAAGGCGTCCACGTCCACATCTCCATGGCGACCACCATCACGTTCGTGATCCACATCGTCATGAAGGGCAAGTCACCTCCAAGCAACATGTGCACGACGACGACGAACGACATCTACATCGAGCTCAAGCACGACAACGACAACATCATCATGAAGATGCTCGAGATGCGCCTACCTACAAGTCGCAACAAGCCCTACTTCATGCCAAGTCCAAACTTCATGACCACAAGAGAAGACCGCGAGACAAGCACCACCAAGACGGAGCTACGGCTACACCAACCACTTTGGCATCTTCGCCAAGCGACTTCAAGGCCTCTTCGCCTTCGGATATATGGCATCTTCGCCAACAAGCACCTCAAGACTACACTCAAGAGAAGCTCCCCAAGCTCAAGTCCGTGACTTCCACGAGCTACTACGACCTCGACATCGACCACACGATTCCTTTCTATGGGACTCAAGAACCCGAGGAGTATCTCGAGTGGGAGCGTTTGATGGACGACTACCTCAAGCTACATCAAGTCCCTCCCGAAGATCAAGTGAAGTGCGCCACAAGGAACTTCCACGACTACGCGTCCACATGGTGGCTTCACACACCTTCGGAGAGCTATGACATGAGTTGGCCCAAGACGAAGAGAGCTTTGCGACGAGAGTTTGTGCCTCCAACCTACACGGAACAACTTCAACGCCAATTGGAGAACACCATCCAAGGATACAAGTCCATCGACGAGTACTTCAAGGAGATAAAGATTGCCTTGCGATGAGCCGGCATGGACGACCCCATTTTGATGAAGTTCCACTTCATGATGGGATTGCACAACGACATCTCCAAGACGATCTTCCTCGAGAACTACAAGTCCCTCGACGACAACTACATTGGTGCTCTCAAGGCAGAACAAGAACTCATGAAGGCCAAAGTTTCTCTACCCCAAGCTCACTTCGCGACGACCAAGCTCCATGAGAACGAGCATGAGGCTAGTACCACCACAATGTCCAAGCCCGACGAGCTCCAAGATGATACTCCCACGTTCGACACCATCCCTCTTTGTGGCATTGGCGATGGCGAGTCCTCCATGACTCTTTTTCAAGACGGTACGGCGACGAGTACGACTACGGAGACCCTCAAGGACCAAGCTTTGAAGGCGAGCGACAAGGTGGCGAGCAAGGATGATGCTTCCATCTTAGGAGGCGAGAGTGATGATGTGCCATCTTTGGCTTTCATACACAGTGACGACAACGAGATGGTTGAACATGGGATTTTCCCTTCGACTACGGCGACGTATGATGACTTGAGTGACTTGTGCCACCATATTGAGAGTGAGAGTGACTTCACCACTAGCCCCATATATGTGTTGCCACAATTCCCATGTGAGGAGAGCCACAAGCCCCACCACTTGAGTGAGATGAGTGACTCCACCATATGTGAGTTTGAGTGCACCTATTCGGAGGGGTGAGTGAATCACCACATAGAGAGAGTGAGTTAGTTGATAGGTCATGCGAGGCCACTTTCAACACTAACGACTTGACCTCTACCTCTATTGTGTCTTCTCATTTGGTGCTAGGTCCCATCTATAATGACGCACCGATTCACGACGACTACGTCCTACCTTTGCACAAGACGATGGCCATGGTGGAATATGATGCACCCCCCACATGGTTCCATCAAGATGAAGATGACCACCATTTGGTCTTTCCCACCTCACCTACACCACTTGAGTGGAATGAAAACG